AAAGCGGAATCAAATTTTTCAGTGACAGAGCTAGAAGTTTTGCCCCGTATGGGCCTGTTTATTTTGGGATTAAACTTTTAAATTTTCCTATCAAAATTTCACAATATTTACCCTTATTGGCCCTTTTTTCGAATAAAACCCCTCGGGGAAAACAGCTTTGGTGGCGCTCACGTTCAAAAACACAGCCCCGAAATTTGCTATTCCCAGGTAAACAAAATTTTTTAGCTGTGCCCTGTTGAGGCATATAGCATTTGGTGTCGGGAATGTTTCGTTTTGGACTCGAGAAAGCCCAACGACAGGGGCCTTTTGGTCTCCAGTCCTTCGTTTCCTGACCAAGGAGGACGTTGATTTTAGGGCAGTCTCCCCTTCCACTGAAGGTTTTTGTGGTAACCAAGGGGTACTGTCCCTTTTGCACAGCTGGTGGACCCCGGGAGAAACCTTACCAACTGGTGATACCAAAATCCATGAAACCCGTATCTTTTGGTTGATCCCCAAATTTTCCCCCGGGGTAGCGCACCCGGGAAGGGCCGCATATCAAACACATGAAGAAATTTTTCTGGCCTAAAATGGCAGCGGGGCATTGCCAGCATGTACACCCGTGTGTTTTTTGCTACAGCACAAGGGGACCATTACGGGCCCAACCCCATTAAAAATTCCCCTTACAAAGGACCCCGGAAAAGAATCTGTCACCTGTTGACAAATTTCGACCTCAGGAAGGGGGAAAAAAGCACCACTTGTAATGGTAGATAATTGACGCGGTACATGAATTATACCCCTTCCTGAAAAAAACCCCAAAAAGGCGCTGTGCTTTTCCCGGCTGTTGTTCTTCGTCATACTTGCCCACGTGCCCCCCTGTCAGACAATGGGGCTGAGTTTTAAAAAGCAAAAATGCAGGGTCTTTGCTCCAGATTAACATTCCCAAAACGCCCGTAGCTCCAGCCCCCTGCGAATAATGGCTTGCTGAAAGTACAATTTTCAAAGCCTGGGGGTACTCAGATAACCCTTAAACCAAAGTTGTCTACATGGGATGAGGGTATCCCAAAGTTTATGTACATTAAATTCCTCCCTCAACAGTCGATCGGGGAACACCCATTTTGCTTTGTAGGTATGACAAGCCTTCCATATGAAAATTTGTTTGGGTCCCCCTAGACCCACTTACGAAGATAACCCCAGTGGTAAAGATGAGGACAAAGCAGTTGCTTCCGCGGGGGCAGGAACCCTTTTGAAAGCACTATAGGGAAAGTCTGAGCGCAATGCCCCTGCCAAGGAAAGCAAAGTGGAAACCAGGTGCAAAGTTTTTTGCTCAACCACACAGACCCCAGGTATGCCAAACTTTTTCCCAAAATTCGTGGGTCCTTACCCGGGCCTCGACGCTCCCTGGCAAAAGTTTGAGGTGAGGGAGATTGCTACGGGGGAAATATCAAGGGAACCCACCTTGTCACATGAAATATGGGCCCTGTAGGCCCAAGCAGAGCTGGAGTCGGTGGTTGCAAAGCCACTCGACTAAGCTAGGGACAACCGTCTATCCCTTTTCCCTACTCGGATGGGGACGGCCCAGTAAAGGCTCCCCACTTTGGCCTGCGACCCGGACAACGTACATTTCGTGAATTGCGTACCTACTGACTTGTTGATGCTAGCAGTTTTGCTAATTGTTTGCTTGCAAAATGGGTATAAATGCACACACATTGTAAGCTAGTATAATGGAGCAGGTGGACAACATATGTAATTTTGTAAATACTTTTTTGAAGGGTACCCCGGTGTAATGAATCCTGGATTAGTATTATTGTAGGTATGTGCACCCAGTGTTTTTATATAAAAAAAAAAAGCCCGTATTCGGTCGGGCAGTGCTGCCCTTGAGTCACATGTCACACCTTTGGAAATGTACGTCAGTCATTGTTTGCAGATGTGAGGGGGGGCAAAAAAGTTCGTGATGGTGGTCAACTGAGTTTAGCCCCGCGGACAACCCGTACATAGAAGATTTTGTTCCGTGTGACTCTCCGGACTCTCTCGATGAAACACGCGGGCAAAACAGTTTTCCCTTCCCCCTTTGGGAGAGTTTTTTTTTGCCTTTGCATTTTTTTTCCATTTTTGATTTACTAGGACGAAACCCGTCCCTCTTGGGGGGAGCTAGTGTAAGTAATTCCTTTAAAACCTGGGGCCCACCGTATGTCCCCTCGGGATGACGCGAGGTGCTGGCGAGCAAATGTTGACGCCTTACTGTCAGAACACACAGCCTAGCCGTTGTTGAAGTTATTTTCGCGGGGATTTGGGGCTGCCCCGTAGGGGCACCAGGTCAGGGGAGGTGAGCCATTGCCCCCCACTCCCAGGCCCACCCAAATTTATAGACACAGTGCCCCCCCCACGGGTGGCTGCGGTCACTCCCTACATGCCCTTTTGTACTCCTCCATCCCAATTTTAAAACCAAACTGTCCACGGGCCCTACATTGCCCTAGCTATCTTATCGGCACTAAAACCGCTGTTCAGCGTAAGAACAGCAATAACAGAATGTCTGCTTTTTTCATTTGGGCCCTTTTTTTGAATTGTCATATTTTTTTTAAATTTTTGTGAAAATTGGCCAAATTGCAAATTTCTGACCACATTTTGGTAGTTGAAATCGGGAAATGGGGAGTTTCTTTTACTCAATCGATGGAAAAAGAAAAATTCAAAGAAAAAAGCTTGAGTTTGGTCAATGGAACAATGGAATTACCGAAAAAAGGGCTCAAAGTGGGTTTAAATGCCCATTTTTTAAATACCGAGGTCATAACTTGCGAGAGCGTAATACCCCAGTTTTCCACAAATTTGTTTTTTTTTGGGGTTATTTCAACTGCAAAAAAAAATCTCTATCATTTTTAAAAAAAAAATAATTTTTTTTTTTTAAATTTTGCGACCCAGGAGACACCTCAGGATTGGGGGGGTTTCGACGTCAAAAGGGGGTTTAAAGGGTTAATAACCAAAAACCCGATTGATTGAAACCAACCACAATTAGCAGACAAAGGGGCTGAGCCCTTTTCCCGGTTGTGTAGTACCCAAACGGGTTACCCGCAAAGTGCTTCAAAAATACAATAATGAAAAAAATTTAACCCCTTTCACAGTCAATTCCTGAAACAAAAGTGCTTGGAATGGTAGAGAATTTTTTTGAAGTAAAGACACCAAAAAAAAAGATTTAATAGAAAAAATTTCAGAATTCAGGACAAAGTCTGGGGCCCAAATTTTTGCACACAATTTTGCCCGATTTTGCATTCTTTTTAAACCAATTTCCCTTGCCCAATTTGACCAAATTTTTACCTATTTTGCTAGGGTGCCTTTTTTTTTACTGCGGTAAAAACTGCCGTCAACTATCAAAAACCCCTATAAAATCACAATTGGATAATTTTTGGGCCAAAATTTAAAAGCAAAATTCAAAAAATTCTAATTTAAAGCAGAGTCCAAAATTAACACTGTAGAATTCCAAGCATTTAAAACATTCCTTTGTCAAAAATCACACCCCAGTCCTCTCCAAAATTACACTTGCTAATATTTTGAATTTGTGAAACAAAAAAACGAAGTTTTCACTTTACGAATAAAAAAATTCCAAAAATGAATGTATGGTGTACAGCATCCCAATAAAAAGATCAAAAATAGTAAAAACCATAATAAAAAAAATGGGTTTAGGGATGCCTTTACCTATCCTCAAAAATATAAGCAAAAAAAAAAAACATTTCTGCTATTTTGAGGCGATTTCAAGCCCTTTCCAGCCCCGGAAATAATAAAATACTTTATTTTAGTACGTGCCCCCGCATAACGATATTTTTCAATCCAGATCTGTTTTGGGTGCCCTTATAGACCGAATTTGTTAGCATAAAAATATTGTGAATTAGATTATCCTTTCGACCCCTAAAAAAACACCTCAAAAACACTTACAAAAAAAACTTTCACAAAGGGTCAATTGGGGGTGATCGTTTTCCGGGGGGCCCTGTACTATGCTTCCCTTCTATCAAATGAACCAAAAAATAACCAAAAAAACCTCCCAGAAAAAAAACTTTAAGTCACCTTGAATGATAACACATCAGATTTTGCTTTTCCCATTTGCACCACATGAGGAAAATTTTTTTTATACTGGGCTTCTCACTGTACAGCCCATTCTCGCAAATCTAGACCAAAATTTATGCTCACAGTTATTGAGTAAATGGTGATGACTTTTATCTATGGACGACCCTGGCATCAATGATGAGTTCTACATGTGGCAGTCAAAAAGGGTTAACAGATACTTAAAATAGAAAGTCCCAAAAAGTCTATACCAACAGAGGTAATAAAAAACCTGGAAGGGGGGGTAAATCTGGTTTGGTAAAGCAAAGGGGGGTTAGCTCTATTCCCTGGATTAAGAACCCTTTACTAGCATCAAGAAATCCCCCTTAAGAGGGTTTTAAAGAAACCCCGGATATGGGCTACTCTCCCTAGAAAAATAGGCTTCAACTGAACCAAAAAAAAATTTTCTGTCTACGAAAGCTAATTTTAATGATCAATGTTTGAGAAGAACATCTCACAAAAATTTTTCTCTGAACACTTAAGCCTTGGTTAAAGGGGGTATTTTATTATCCCAAGCGTTTTTAACAAAGCCCAAGTTCTATATAACTTAAGGCAGCAAATGCAAAATCTTTCCCTTTTACTTTTGTTATTTATCGTCAAAATGTACCTTAAATATAAAAAAAAGTGATTGATCAAAAAGCAAATGCAATTTCGTAATTTTTCTTTTAGGAATTACTTACCCGAAGCTGACAGTTAATGAATAAAGGTAAAGGATAAACATAACAGAAGAAATGAAATAAAAAACAATTAAAAAAACTGAAAATTACAGTATGGATAAGGTGGAATGAATATTACTGAATTATTAAACTTGAAAGAGAATCTGGAATATCAAGTATCAATACTCAACTTAAACTAACTGTATATATATGAATTAACTTAATTAATTAAATAAACAAATAAGTTTAATTATTATTAATCCTTCATAATGGTTCTGGTCAGTGATAGTTGTAAATAAAAATTGTGAAAGTAAGTGGAGTTGTGAGCGTGTTCATGCCCGAATGACAAGTTTCAGTGAAAGCAAATGCAGAAGAATCCTTTTTAAGTGTCCTGTGTAAATAATGTGACAAGAAATGAGTTTGACTCACAAGTCAACAGCATGAGTATATCCTTGGGAGCCTTCATACATGGCAAACTGCAGAACTTCAGGTGCAAGGTATCCAGGTGTACCACAAACATCTGGACCAACATAAAATATGAAATTTCAAGAGAATGTGAAAACATAAAAGCCTACGTGTAAATAAACACAGTAATTAACTTAACCCAATACTAGTTTCCACCACCCCAATAGAAAGAACCAAAAAAACTCTGAATTATTTACATAAACCATTTACTTAAGATTATGTAAAAAATAACCATGGACAAAATTATCATTATCCTAATGTAGAGTTTAAAAATCATTTTCATATTGTATTTAATTAATGGAGAGGAAGTGGGTTTGTTAGCTGCCTAATTTAATGATAAAAGTGATAGCCATTTGCTAGTGTTTATAGTACAGTTTCAATCTCTACAGTGGCTTATAAACAACTACCATTTGTAATACTCTTTCTAAATAGCCAACATAAGCATTTTTTCAGTTTCTTTCCTTTTAATATCTTAAGTGTATTTGCTTTTGAGACAAATCCCATTCTTTCCTCACATATAGTGGCTAACACTACCACCTCAAGCTTATTAAGGAGCTACTGTAATAGTCAGATGGATGTAAGCAACAACTATTTAAGATTTCTGGACTAGTCAGAGTATAATATTGGTTTGTATCCTGGACCAGGGAGAGAATAATGCACAGTATATGATGTGTACTCCTGTTCTTCGAGTCTTTGCACACACCTAAAACCTCATGCTGCCATGAAATGGAAGCATGAGGAATTACTGTCTTCAAATTTAAAGCAAACATGCATTGGGTAATGCTATTGCCTCAATTTTATTAAGGATATCACTGTCTAGCAATGAGAGGAGCCACACCACATGATTTCTGGCACTGTCAGTGAGATAATGACGAGTTTAGCTCCTAGACCTGGTAAAGAATATATTTCATGTCTGTACATACACTATATGCCTACACTACATCATTATTCTTAGATTCATGAAGGAGTGCCAAACTCATGGGGATAGCACAGCACCTCAAGGATTGGGAGGTAATTAAATCCAAGGGAAGTGGAGTCCAATTCCGTGGATCAAGAGCTCTTCACTTGTATTCATTCGTACATGAATTAGGCACCACAACACACTGAACCATCACAGTAAACAACCTCAGCACATGGTGCACTATTACAGCGCATAAGGAACCTTAGAGGAGTAACTATAGTACAGCATATCTAGTGTAAATCATGCTTTTTTTAGTCAGAGCTTGCATTCTTGGCATAAAAAAGCAATGGTCGCTTTGCCAAAAAAGCCAGGTATAAACTGTTTGCTACAATAACTCCACAAAAATTAGCCTGAACATCACAAAATTAATATATTTCACTAACGGTCAATAATACTGCATTATTAAATTTAGGCTGATTTAAGATTGGTCAGGAAGAATTAAGTTAAATAATATTACAATCATTTTTGCAAGATTAGGTTAGGTTGCTAAGTAAGTTTCGGTGTAAAAAAAAAAAAAAAATTCTATATACTACTGATTGCCCATTAGCAAAAATAAGTACAGGTCTCCCTCAACATTCGCGAGGGTTAGGGGATCAAGAACCTTGCGAAGATATGGTACTATGTTCCACAATCAGCTCTCTTGCCCTATATACATCACTCATTTACCCCTATTCACCTATGGAATCTGTGCATGGGGCTCAACAACAATACATCATTCAGACCATTAATTACCTCAACAAGAGGCTGCAGTAAGATGATTTACAAACTCTCACTCCAGGCAGCACACTCCACACAATAATCAAAACTCTAAATTTACTCACCATACAAAACATCCATACTTATTACTGTGCCTACTACATACATATGAACACTAAACTCAGATATAACCCTCCCTCAAACGTTCTCTCTTACCAACCTCAACAGGACACACGACTATAACACAAGGCACAGAACACTCTTTGACGTTCCCGTGTCCGTCTCACACTATGTAAAAACTCAATGCACATAAAAGGCCCAAAAATTTGGAATTCATTACCGGTGAATACAAAAGAAAAACTGTATATCAATTCAAGACTCTTCTTAAAAACTACTTACTTACTCAAACTAAATAAATATTGAATAACTGTATATCATAAATGTATAACCCGTAACCCTATCAAACTATTTTTTTAATTACATCATCTAATGACATTATGACCTGCTTCTGCACTACTAATCATTGATTTTATTCGACATGATCAGATTAATAAATTGTATGACTACATATAGCATATAGATCATTTTGTTATATTATATTGTACAACTATAATGCTTCATAACTGAAATGTTCAAATTTCATTGTTTAAAATACTCATTTGTACTTCATGTTGTAATTGCTTACTGTAATTTTTACCACTGAATCTATCATTGCTTAGTTAATCTTAAGTTAATTTTAACCCTTTCAGGGTTTCAGACGTACTAGTATGGCTTACGCGGCAGGGTTTTTGACGTACTAGAACACATAAATTCTAGCGCCTTCAAATCTCGCGGGAAAAGGCTGGTAGGCCTAGATGTGAGAGAATGGGTGTGTGTGGTCGGTGTGCGCAGTAGAAAAAAAATCTGGGACCCAGTGGCGCATTGTGGGAACACCATTTTAGTAGACCTTGTTCACCATGCCTCGCAGTAAAAAGTTCCTCACTCCTCGGCGAATTAGGACACTTTTGTTCACCAGTGACAGTTCTAATACAGATGGAAGTGCCAGTTTCAAGGTTTTGGTGAGGTTTTGACCGAAACTAATGACCATAATATCGGTAATAGTGAGGAAAACCCAGACGACCCTCAGCCTTCCACCTCTGCTACCGGGCCATCTTGTTCACGTTCAGTTGTACCAGAATCAAAAGGGAAACTCCTATTTTCCTAAATCCCAGACTCAGATGTGAGCATTGGTGATGATAGTGATAGTGAATATGAACTACAAGCTCTTGAAAACAGTTCCAGTAGTCATAGTGAAGTGAAATATTCTCCAGTGAAGCGTCAGTGTATACGACGATATATGCGTTCTGGTAGTGTGCCATATGCTATTCAAAGGGGAAGGAGTACATCTCAGAGTACATCCCATGGCTGTACAACAGGAACAGACAGTGAAAATGAAGATGATAGTGTTGCAATTGGGATGGAAAACGTGCATGGTGGTGGTAGTGGTGGTGCCGGCCGTGAGGCACCAGCAGTGGGCAATGCTGCCACCCATGCTGCTGCCTCAGCTGATCTACAACAAAGGCCACCATCCCCTACCCACCCACCACACCAGCGTCCACAACCACAACCTCCACAACCACAACCACCTGTCAGTGTCCAGTACCCACCAGCAAACTGCACCTGGGATTGGCAGGAAGCTTCAATTTTGTTCCAAATCCTCACCAAATCCAAAGTGGAATACGGCCATGTTGTACACTGGGGAACAATGCCAGTGAACTGGAATGTTTTGAGTTATTCTTTGATGAACCCCTGATGGAAATTATTGTCAGGGAAAGCAACAGATACTATGAGTACACCATGGCAAACACAATACTTTCACCAAAATCACGTCTACACAAGTGGAAGGAGACAACTGTGGCTGAGATGTATCTTTTCTTTGCCACAATAATGTGTATGCCACAAGTGTATAAGCACACTATGAAATCATACTGGTCAACAGACCGCCTGATTGCAACCCCAGGTTTCAATGATATAATGGGAGTTAATCGATTTGTGCTACTATTAAGTATGCTTCACTTCAGACAAAACCAGGCCTGACAGAAACGACAGGTTATAAAAGATTAGGAATGTGTTTGTGTATCTGAAAATGAAATTCAACATGTATTTTTATCCCTTCAGGAAGCTTGTAATTGACGAGTCTTTGATTCTGTTCAAAGGAAGACTCTCTTTCAAGCAGTACATACCAAGCAAGAGGGAAATGCTTTGGTTATAAAGTTGTCTGTGCTTTGATTGCTTCAGTGGTCTTGTATTGGATATTATTGTGTACACTGGAAGTTATACATTGCAAAATACCAGGAAGTTATTGGGCATCTCTGGTGATGTGGATAGAACAATGATAGAACCATACCTCGGTAAGGAGCACATATTATATACTGATAAGTGGTACACAAGCCCCACACTCAGTGACTTTTTGCGAGTGAACATGACAGGTTGTGTGGGCACAGTGCGTGCAAATCGTAAACATATGCCCAGGTTTGACGCTGGCACTCGTAAAGGTGAGGTGCAGGCGTTTGCTGCCAATGACATCATGGCATTTCGGTGGCATGACAAACGAGATGTCACACTGTTGTCATCAGTTCACCCAAACGAAATGACAAACACTGGCAGGCGGCATAGAGACAGCAATGAACCCATTCTAAAACCTGCAGCTGTGATTGATTACACCCTCAATATGTGCTCAGTGGACAAATGTGACATGCAGATTGGGTTTGCTGATTGTGTTTGCAAGAGTTATAAGTGGTACATACAACTCTTTTTCCATCTTCTGGACATTTCCATGCTCAATGCTTATAATAAGTATAAGATGAGGACCAGAAACAAACCACCATATGGCGAGTTCTGTTTGTCTGTCATCAGACAAATAGTATTCAAGTACCAAGGAATAACACCTGCAATAGACCACCCACTAAATTATCAACAACTACCTTCTCGTCTGAAGCATGGTGATCACTTCCTAATACAACTGCCTGCTACTGCTTTCAAGAAAATGGCTCAGAAGAGGTGTTATGTCTGTGCACACACAAAAAAATGCCCACAACAACGCAAAGACACTCATTTTATGTGTGAGGAGTGTAAAACACCACTGTGCATGACACCATGTTTCAAAGACTTCCACAGGCTGCAGAACTTCTAGAAACATTCCCTGTGACTGTATATGTGTATATGAAATATAGAAAAAATAATAATAAACAACATTTCATATGGTTTGTTCGTGTAAATATTTTTTGTAAACAAAACAGTGACAACAGTGTTTTTGCAGTTATTGTGTAGTATAGAAAAAGAAATACAGTGGACCCCCGCATAACGATATTAATCCGTTCATGAGAGCTCATTGTTAAGCGAAATTATCGTTATGCGAA